CAGACCCCCCCCCCCCCATTGCTTCCAATGGCTTTTTTGACAGTGAAAAATACAAAGATAGAAAATACAATATAACGTTTAACAATAGAAAAAGATGTACATAATAATGGATAATTATTTATAATGTGCAAGTGCCCCTCAATTTCATATTGTGTACAATTAACATAAATAAAAATGTCTCATAATATAATATTTCCTGTCAACTTCCCCCCCCCCCCCCCTTCCATCCGCTAGCTCCCGATCCACAGTCATCCGTTTAATTGCACTTCAATAGCAGCTATTGAAGTGCAACTAAACAGATAGCTATCGAAAACAACAATAACAATTTCAAATCCAGTATGAAATATATGATTATGAAGATAGGTAGATAGCCTTATGTATACAGTTATCGCGTCACAGTTGAATTATACACATGTATACGCATTCACCACATGAACATCATATGAATCCATAAACATTTGACAGGATAATTGATATCTTGTGTACATACAAAATACAAGCAATGTCCATATTCCTGCCAGTCCCCCGAAAAATAAATCAAGAGATATTACAAAAAAAATACATTTAATTTCAGTTATTTGATAATACAAAGTTTGTTTATCTCCTCTCTTTGTCAGGTTTGTATGTTATTGATCATTTTAAATTGTCAGCATTCATTTCTATACTACAAGAACCATGATTGTCTCACATTTTCCTACACAAGTTTCTATTTCGGGCAAGTAACAGCATGTCATTCTTATATATTATTCCACTTAACGAGTTTGATTTAATTTATTGTTAATCAGTTGACAATACTTTAAAGAATGTGAACGAGATATTTGTTCAGAAGCAGATATATCTATTCTAACCTGTCATGAGTTCACAATTGCAAAAACAAAAATTGTAATTTTGCTTTGACATTTTTAGGTGCTTTAATTGGTATGGCACTAGCAGAATTGTATATTTGTGTTTTTACTTATAACATAGCATTTCTGCCTCGTCCATTCTGAATCGAGTAGACAAAATATACTGCAATGTAAATTACATACACACATGCATGAACTAGCATACCCATTGCTCAGAGAAATGTACCATTTTACTACATTTCTGTATCACTTGAACGCAGTGAAAATATTACAGAGAGAAGCCATTTTGGCCTGCTCAGCTACTGACAAGATAATAATGGACTGCAACAACCAAGTTTGCTGAGCCGGCAAAGTCTTCATTAACTGTCAACCCAAACAGAACAGATTAGTCCCACAAAAGGACAATGAAAGTGCTGTTATTGTTCCTGATTCTTGCTGCCTCACAATTTTTAAATATAAGGACTCATGTCTAAAACAAGTACATCATGTACAAGAAGTATAGCACACAAGCCTGCTTATTTAGGGGTAAACTACTTTTTGAGAGATATATTGGACGCAGAACATCATACTATGTAAATTCTACAGCAACATTTAGATCGATCACCATGCACCCCTGAAATGTGGTGACATAGACCTCAACCCTGGTCCATTAAATGACCATCCCCATCATCAGTACTTAAGTGAATATCTGCATAATTTGAGGGGAAACTGTAGTAAGGGAAAAGTCTCCTCCAAGACATGGAGAACAATCACCAGCCTAATTCGAATACACTCCAAGCCAGTCAGTCACAGAGGCAAAAGGGGTGGGATTAGGAGACTCCCAGGAACCTTCTCATTAGAAGCCAAGCCACCATGCTGTTGGCGTATCTTCTAGCTACTTTGAGGTTGTGCAGATATATATGTATACAGTGATGTGAAAGATTTAATCTATGTGCGGTTAAAAAGAACAGGCGCAATCCTAGCGCAACTGTGTTTTCTGCACCTCAGTCTTCAAGCTGGCTACTGAGGTACAGGCGATTACACGTGCAGGGAGAACGTTCCAGAGTCTGATGGTGTCAGGAACAAGGTTTTCTGATATGTGCAAGTGCGAGCATAAGGGACATGCATCTTCATCTGATGGTCACGAAGGGAAGTTGAGGCCTGATTGAAGTATTGCGCAGCTGGTACATCATGCACCAAGGAGTTGAGTATGCGGTACATCATTATCACCCTGAACTGAGCACGCCTTTTTTTCAAGAGTGGGCCACTTCAGACGAAGGAGCATGTTGGTGACACTACTTGTGCGACGGTGGTCTCCTATAGTAAACCTGGTGTACCGTCGTTTCTCCAGCTTCCGAATATTATCCTTGGTGAAGGGGTCCAACACTTCGCTTCCATATTCCAGGACAGGTCTGAGGAGAGCCTTGTAGCATATAGCACCTTGATGTTTCTTGGGCAGGAACTCACGTTGCGTTGCAAGAAGGCTAGGGTGAAGTTTGCCTGCTTGGCGACCAGGCTAATATGGTGATATTTCCAGCTCATGTTTTGATGTAGGTTTATACCAAGATACTTGGCAGAGCTAACCTTTTCCAGCGCTTGACCATGGATTGAGTATGTCTTGTTGATTGGGGTCCTCTTTTTAGTGACCGAGATGGTTTGACATTTCTGAAGATTAGATGTCATCAGCCAGTCTGATTCCCACTGCTGTAGGGAGTTGAGATCCTCTTGCAGATTGTTTGCATCATCTTGAGAGCAAATCTCGTGGTAGAGGCGACAGTCATCTGCAAACAATCTGGTTGTGGAGGAAGTCTTGTATCCAGCTCAGTGTAGACCGATGGATGCCATAGAATTTCAGTTTGTATAGAAGTCGATGGTGAGGGACTTTGTCGAAGGCCTTTGAGAAATCTAACAAAATCATGTCGTCACAGGTAAGGATGAGTAATTGGGTGATATATGAACAATGTTTGCGAAATCCATGCTGGGCATCTGAGAGGATGTTATTTTCATCAAGGTGCAGATGATATGCTCTAAGATCTTGCATGGAATAGATGTCAGAGAAATGGGTCTATAATTCTCTGGACTGCTCCTATCACCTTTCTTAAACACAGGAGCAACATTTGCCGTCCTCCAGTCATCTGGAATAATGCCTTGTTCAACAAATGCTTTGAATAATGTTGCAAGTACTCTGGTGACTTCATCAGCAAGTACCTTGAGTAACCTAGCCGAAATTCCGTCCGGGCCTGTCGCTTTGAAGGGGTCAAGTCCAGATAACAGCTTGTTGACACCAGCTGGAGAGATGTCAATGTCCTCCATGGAGGGATAAGGACTGTCACCTTTGTCTGCATGGAATATTAGTTGGGCACTCATCTTTGGTAAAAACTGATGCAAACTGTTTGTTGAGGGTATCTGCCTTGGAAGTGCAGTCAGATTGGACGATTCCTCCTGGTGACTTAAGAGGAGCAACACCAGTTGTGTCACTTCTTACTGTTAATGAATGACCAGAACCGTTTCGGGTTGCATTTGGACTCAGGTGAAATGATGTTCCTGATGTGGTCTTTGCATGCTTGTTTGCATGCAAATCTTGACTCTTTCTTCAGAGCTCGGTACTTCTCAAAGTCTTCTTGAGTGCCAGCTAAGCTCCTAGCTTTCACATATTGACGCTTCTTTCTTCTTGATAGACGCTTCACTTTGGTGTTTATATCCAAGGTTGGTTGTACCGTATGGATGAGCACATGTTGTTCCAGGATGTCAAGAAGATTTGATTTGATGGACAACCACATTTCAGAGACAGAGCTTTCCACGCTAAATCTAGAAGTAAACGACTTGCTGAACAATGCACACTGATCTGGTCTAAGTCACGTCTGCTATGTGGTCAGATGACGAATGTGTCGTCGACATATCGGAGCCAGAGAGAAGGGCGTTGTGAGAGAGTCTGGAGTGCTGTAGTTTCGAAGTGCTCCATGAAGATGTTGGCTATAACCGGTGAAAGAGGCGATCCCATGGCTGCGCCTTGAACTTGCTGGTAATAATTATCTCGCCATTTGAAGGAAGTTGAATTGAGGCAGAAGTACATGAGGTCATGTATTTCATCCAGTGCCAGGGGAGTTTTGTCGGGAGGTTATACTGACTTACCTGGTTCGTATTGGAAGCTTAAGATTGTACTGGATCATCAAAGATGGTTGCCTTCTTCATATATCATGTTATGTCTAGGAACTTTAAGGTTATTGGCTTCAATTGACTTACCTGGGTCATCTTGGAAGCTAAGTTACTAGTGGTTTGTGGATGTTTGTCTTCATGTTTCATGTACAGTAAGGTCAGGGAACCTAAAGGATGTTGGCCTTAAACTGACTTACCTGGTTTGTCTATAGCTTGGAAGCTTTTGGTTGGTTTAATATGTTGGTCTTTATCATTTATCATGTAAGTTCTGGGAACTTAAAAAGTTAGAGGCCTTAACCCTATTATAACTGGGCTATTTCAGACCAGGTTTTTACGGGGGGGGGGGGGGTCAATTTGACCCCCCCCCCCCCTAAGATCTTGGCCGTTTCACTGCCGATCGCCGCGAAAATTTGCATGCATGCCAAGTGAAGTGTATAGAATACTATGGTAATTTCAAATTTTTGAAAAATTCACTCATTTGCATATTTATGGTAATTTATGCAAATAAGGTCATACAATTCACATTTTTGCCCATAAATCATACATTATTCATATTTAGCATTCTTTTTCACTACATATATTTGTTAGACCATTTGGAATAATAATACAACACAAAAAATCGGAAGAGCCAGGTTATTCCTCATGTAATCTCTTGTTTTGATAATTTCTTATGTATTTCATTGTTTTTTTAACTTATGTATTTTATTGTTTTTGTTGTTTTATTTCATTTATAACTACAATTCAATTTTTTTATCCCAAAACAAACACCTAAACTTTAAACAAGATAAATAACTAATGTTTTTGAAAAATGACATTTGCATGTTTTGTACACAAATCACAAAAATGAGCGATTTTCGGGCTGACATGCAAAGACAAAAGGTCACGCGACTTTGTATCTATACGTCCGATTTTCAAAAAATTGTTTTAAAAGATGTGTAAGACTAAAAAGTCATGAAAGGAAAATTTCATATCTGCCGCGATTTCGGAGAAGCCGCAAAATTTCTACAGGGGGGGGGGGGGGTCAAATTGACCCCCCCCCCCAGTTAACATAGGATTAAACTGACGTCATCAGTGGTCTGCATACTTTCATCGGTGTCTTTGTTGACCGTCTGCGCTGCACAGTCGTTGTCAATGCTCTGCATACTTCCCTCGATGTCTTCGTTGACTGTCACATGCAGTCCCAGTCCTGTTAGTGTATTAGAGAAAATGTGTTGCAGGAATATGGTCTCATCCAATTTGCTAACCCATTATATTTGTACCTTGACTATGGTTTTTTTGTACAGGAGTTTTTACATAGAAAAGAACAAGTTATTACCTATTAGAACTATCTTAAATGATTATCATATGACCATTATTATAACAATTCTTCTTTTGAGTAAAATATTATTAAGTATCACCACCAGTGTTTCCCTCTATCCTCTTTTTATGTATACCAAAAAATAAATTCATACATGTCTTAGAGCTGACATACCTTGATGGTCTGCATACAATGATAGATGATCTTCTCGTCATTGTGTTGCTCTGGGATAGGTACCGTTTCACTCTGTTTATGAAAGAGTAATACAAGATGCAGAAGAGAAATACTAGAAAGCATTGACATTATATTAGTTATACAATAGTTCATATGCAAACACTCTGACAGGAACATTGTTGGTGAGCTAACTAAGGAAAATCAAATGAGTTTGTAGCAATCTTCTAAGCCTCAGATACAAACATCTCATGCAAATCCAGTCAAGAACTAAATCATGGTGACAACCTCCAGTTCTTCTTGGGCAGTACATGCATTCACAAATAGGAAATAAATTATCAATGACATTGAAGTACAAAAGAACTTATTGTTTTAAAAAGATGTGAGATATTGGTACTCTAAGGACATTGTAATGACAGATATCACACTATTTTTAGAAAAGTAAATGCTATTCATATGATATCATCTTATTAGTTCAGTGACTTGAAATATAATCAAATAATACTTACAAAGTATGAATGTGAGCCACATGGGTCATTCCCATCCAATGCCCATGACACAAAGCTGTATGGTAACGAACACATGCTGCCCATACTTCAACGAAACACGATGGATGACCACAATTTAGTAGAAAATCGCGCCACAGATCTTTCTGCAAATGAAAACAAAAGAAAAAAATTTAAGTAGTTTTCAACAAGATTTTAAACTTTCTTCTCAATGCTCACACTGACAATGACATGCACTTGTATCATGATCTCATGTAACTATAATGGGGATTAAAATAGAACTGTGTACCTAAAAACATGTCTTCTATTTCATTGTTGCTGATTTTCATGCTGACATTTGAGATAAATGATATTCTATAATTACATTTACCACTGTAATGCAAAGAAGATTACATTAAAACAGAATGAAGAAGTGTTGTTACAATATCCTACAAAAAATGAATCGTTGGAACAGTATTTAAATATAGGTAACTTACTAGCAAGGACAGCTAAAGGCATTTGTCATCATCACTATCGCTGTAGTCATTCTCTTTCTCTGGCTCAGCCTCTCTCCAGTCATCAACAGCCAGAATGGTACCCTTCCAGCTTTGCCGTCCCCACTTCATTGTACATCTTGACCCAACCCAGACTCCGTCTATCTCCTCTAAATCTTGAACAGCCACCACATTCTTTTTTCCGGTTTTCGTCCAATGGACCAAAACCAGGTCTTCTGTATCATTCAGCATATCTATAGAACATAGAAATGGAAAATAATTAACGATGTTTATAATTGTTTTTTCTTTGCTATATTTTCTAATGTTCGCAATGAATAAACCAACATTATTTTCTCAAATCCCAAATCAAATATGGTATATTAATAACTGTTTATTTAAAAAATAAATCATTATGCTTACTTTAAACAATTGCAAAAAACATGTTAGTAACTGATTGAAGGGATTGAAATGTGTGTAAATTAAGCTTGTTGCTTTACTTATGAAATTCAACTAGGCCTGAGTTTCATACTGTGAGTTGATATACTTATGAATTAAAAGTTTGAATATCAGCTTGTCTGCACCTAGACTACAGCTTTTAGACTTTGTATCAATGTCACAATGTCTAGACTTATCTAGAGCATATCTTCAATGTCATTGAATTGTGTTGATCTACATCTTGGCCCATTCATTAATATATATCAAAACAAATGTATGCCACTTGCTGATTAAGATCAATTGACATGCTCATTTCAATGAATCCAAACACCAAATACATTTAACCAAAATCCTCAAATAATGAGCAGAGAATGTTTATTCAAGAGTATAGGCTAAGCTTTTTAAAGTTTTAGGCTAGTTTTAGTAACACTACTAATAATAATATTACTACCTCTGCTTTAGTTAGATCTATAGCAGTGCAAATGGCTATTTAAATTGTTAATCACTGAGTGTTAATTTACAAGGACACAGCAATATAAAAAATTACATTGTGTTAGGCTTGGAAGAAGTTACAGATTTTTCTAGAACTAAAAGGTTGGCCAAATGTCAGGCAGAACGTTTTCATCACTTAATTGACAAGTACAAGTAGGTTTATTTCAGTCTCTCAGTCAACTAATACAGAGGCTGGATAAATCGTCATAGTTCTGTTCAGTTCAGCTAGGTAGCATAATGGAATATAATACGACCATGCAGTGAGAAGGGGGTCATAATTCTACAGACTACAGCTTCATAGTTTCAAGCTAGTACAGTCTACTACGGTAGTCTAGATCTAGACCTTTTGCCATGAAACTGAGAGGCTTAGAAAGTCAAGGGCTAGTAAAGTACTAGTCCATCTGGGGGTCTGCTCGCCATTCATAATGACCGCTATTTATAAAAGACAGCATTCATTTAGTCAAACGTTATGAATAGTGGTCCTTATGAATGGCGGTCCTTATGAATAGTAAGGTAAATTGCCTATGGTTTGCTCACTATTCATAAGGGACGCTATTCATGAAGGATTGCTATTCATTTAGTCACGCGTTATGGATAGCGGAGGAGTTGTAGAGGTACGTTTTCAAGCCTCTTACAGGGGTGATTAATCGTTAGTTTCCCACTAGTATTAACGCAAGGGGCTAAATTACGCAGTAGGGCTAAGCCTCTTGCAGGGGTGGTTAATCATTACAAGCCTAGACCTCTAGTAGTATAGTACCGGTACAGTATTCTATTTCATTTGTCTTGTGACTATTCTTGCCCCACTAAAAATGGTGTTGTGCAAGCATAAGTGGTGAAATGTCTTGGCAAAAACAAGTCTAGATCAGTACTCCTTTGATTTAGATCTAGAGATCTAGATCAGTACAGTAGATGCTCTTAGACTTAGATCTACTCAGTTAGTCTTACTCTTGTCTTAGCAGATCTACTGTAGATGTAGACATGTAGACTGTACGCTGTACTACTAGGCCTATACTAGTACTACTGACATGTATTGATGTAGATCTGACTGAAACTCAAAAACAAAGAATACCCTGGCCCAAGTCAGGCCCAAGTCTTTAGACCGAACCTAAGGCTAAGCCTGCTTAGAAAGTTAGAAGCCGTCTACTGGCCTAACCAGATGCCGTTCGAAATTAACAAAACATGAAGGGAATTATATCTGGAGTCTTTTTTTTTACAAACTTAGCTTCATGTGATATAAAATAGGCCATTATGTAATCAATTGCATGCCATAGATTACTTTTAATTATAGCAAAACTGAAAATTGAAACGCAACTAACTAGAATAATCAACACTACAGTAAAGTCAACCTGTGGGGCTGCCCAGATTAGATATAAACAAAAGGAATACCATAATCTAGACAGATTAAAAACAGCGATGGGAGCGCTTAAAATAACGTTTTCATGTTTCTTGTTGTGCATTTCAATTCAAACTAAGTCATTGTTCAATTATGTTAATGATTTAAATACGGAAATTAGAAAAATAGCTTACTTTGAATGATACATCTAGCAGACGAAAACTTAGCTCCGCGAGCTCTCAGATTTCCTTGCAGACGACAGAATATGGTGTATTGCGGCTTTTGTGCATTCAACGCGCGGATTTTGTCACCGCACAAAGGCCATAGCGCGAATAGCGGCCTTTGTGCAGGGAAATTTTGTGCACAACGGAGATAGCGGCCTTTGTTTTTGAAGAATATCTTGATAACAAAGACGAATCTGGAAACAAGCGACATATCAAATTGTAGCATTTTTAATTCTCTACATGATGCAAACAAAAACTAATTTTCAAAAAATTTGACCAAATTTGCTGATAGCGGCCTTTGTGCGGGCAAGCGACGATGTATCAATTTGCTCCTACCTCCTACGGTTGGATTTCCCTTTGAAACGAGGCACATTGAGAGTGTGAAGGCAAGATTATACAGTGGTAATGAGACACAATTTCTTGCAGATATTTCTTGAAATGTTGCAAAGTTGAAGTGATAAGAAAAGAGGCAAAAGAAATATATAGTTTTGATTAACTGAAAGTGAGAAGGGTAATTTTCAGGGGAAATAAAAGTGTGGGAGGGGGGCACTTGATGGGACATTTGCTTAATATTGCATTCTGTCTTTGATCATGAATGGAGGCCCTTATGAGATAAATTGGGGCTAGAAAATAAGAAGGGCCTTTCTAAGGGGGGGGGGGGGGCTTAAATGTCACATAACATCTTGGTATGCCTCCCTACTTTCTGTGATCGTAAGAAGGTTATTTGGGAAAGGGACAAAATGTGGACTTTGGTCATTCAGAAATGTTTGAAAAAAATCAGTGGATAGCTTGATTTTTCTGTTTATATTTCCAAATTTGTAGTTCCAAATATTTCCAAATGGTTCATTGAAATCCCTTTTTACATTCTTTGTTTTATATACGTATAGTGAAAATAGATGCTGGAAAAATTGTCTGCATGGGCAGTGTCCACCATTGAAGTCATATTTCAATATTTTCCTGATAATGATTCTTAAAGATTGTTTCCTACTTCACCTTTTTTTTAAAGATGCAGAACTTGCAGACTCAGGCTAAGTCTGGCCAACGTTTGCAAAACTATAATTACTGAGTATATCTTTCATCCTGCATCTTCATACCTCATACCTTCATGTATCAACTTAAATGTTCATACAATTGACTAGCCAGACTCTTGATTTCTCACTATAACCCTACAGTGGAATACATGTCATTCTCGTGAGGGGGAAGAGCTGGAGTCAGTTAGGGCATCTTGTGGATTAATTTGCTGGAATTTTGAACTTGAGAGGTATCATCATCATCATCATCACCATCTTGATAGTCTTACTCGGAACAAAGTGATGAAGCACATTCATGAGTAGTAGTAGACTGGATTCTTGGAAGGAGACGAGAAGGGTTGGATTTCTACTACCAGACATTCTCATACGTTCGCCTGTCTATCCTTGGAATGCATTTAAAACATTAGAGAATCTTTGCAGCAATAGTTTCAGCGAGTCCAGGATCAGTTTTTTGGTTCAATTATTGGTCAAATAAGATATTTGTATTCACGTTATCCACCCATCTTGTGGTAATACTTTTTGACAAAGTTTATTGGTTCAGATTTCTTAGAAAATGAAGATTTGCATTCAGCTCAATCATCTCCTTTTCCTGGAAAGTTTGGACATTTTGCAGCAGGTCATGTTGTTTGATCGTCGGGTCTACATGTATGTCAGACTTGTCGGTCCACTTTCTTGGAAACTGGAGCACCAGAACATTTTGCAGCCAGACTTTGATTTCCTGGTTCCTGCTAGTGTTTGTTAGTTCAAATTTCTTGGAAAATTTGTACTTACCTTTCCATGGACAGGGGATGTACGATGCTGCAGCAGTTCTGTGATGTCCAGGTCCAGGATAACTTTGTTGGTCCAACTTTTTCAGAAACTAAGGATCTGTCGTTCATACTTTGTGGATTTGCTCTTGTGGAAGGCTCTTTGGAATATCACCTTGAATAGTCTCTGTACAATCCTTTGTTGCTGGATCATGTACACAGATATTTTAGAGGGTTTTTTTTAGTAGTAGTCTTGAATGATAAAAGACACCAATTGTTATCATTTTTGTTTAATATCACTCATAACTCTGTCCAGTATTCTCTGTATTTCTAAAGAGTCTAAATAGAGATTCTTTAGGGGATATCCAACTTTCTTCCAACACTCATTGTATTGTTTACAGCCAAAAGGATAATGGAATGGATGGCCTTCTGTAGGATTTCCTGGTTGTCTTTCATAGATTGATCCTAACCTTCCAATACAGCTTGAAAAAAATTTCAGTTTGTCTTCTACCATTTTGTCTTCTGCATTTGTTTGTGTCTTGTAATGATTGCCTTTTCTGAGTGACAAAAAAAAATGGTGTTTACTTTTACTTCTGTTATCTTCGTTTACTCTTTGAGATCTTTTTTGTTGTTGCCATCTTCGTTAGTTTGCAGACTACGTTTCATTACGAACATGCAATGTGATTATAAATTTCTTTGTAATTCAAAAAAGGAGAGCTTTTAATTTTCTCTATGATGCTTTGTGTTGTCGTTTTGATGAAGTCAGTTGTATGTAGGCGGTGTCAGACAGAGGCCAATTATCTAGAGAATAACTATCTACATTAGATAATTCACTGTCTGTCATCAATAATCCAGCTAAAAATCCTGTGAAAACAAGAACATTCTCTGCGGTGAATTTCTGTCTGTCACCTGGCTATCACCTACGTAAGTGAATTATCTAGATAGCTACTATCGTTAGGTAATTCAAGATTGATCAGGAAAATTGTGTCTGACACCACCTTGTATAATATATTTATTACTTCATCAGATGTTCACATCACAAGCATGCAATGTACATGTACATGTACATAGGGGAAATATCTGCATTGTTTTGGTATCATGAGGTATGTCCTTATCAGCCCGAGATTGCCAAATAGCCCGCTATATCTGATTTGGTAAATAAGCTTGAAGTTACAAATTACGTCTTCATCAGTTAGAGACTCAACCTCCAAACTCGAGCTCAAGAAATTGGCTCGAGATATTTTG